AAACTTTTAGAAAGCAGCAAAATTAGCAATGCAGAACCAAGTAACTTGTTTTTAAGCCAACAAAACATTGAAGATAAAGTGTTCATCAGGTGTGATAATCCATCCAGTCCTGTGTGTTCTTTAAACATACCAGGTTTAAGTGCGTTTGAATGAAACAGGATTTTCTTTTAGGAAAGCAAATACAATATATAATGAAATCTTTCTCTTAATTGCTTTTAATTGAGCCTCCAGAGTGTGATTTCACGGAATGAATTAAATGCAAGAGCATTAGGAAAGTAAGAAAAAAATTGTGATTTCCCAAAATTACAGCCACATATTTGTTTAAAAACTCCTGAAAGTGGAAGAGGGAATTCTTGATAATGAAAAAAGCCATTAGTATTGTTGGCTAGCAACACCCAAAGTGTGTTGTGTGTGTCTACCTTTCTGACTTAATATGGAATGAATTGGCAGCCCATTGAATTATTCTCTGATAGCAAATTGTTTGCACAATCCAGGCAGGAGTGCTGACAATTAAAATTTATACAGAGTGTTACCGTTTTCTTATATTTTGTCAGAGCACCAATTTAGTCCTACTGCCTCAGCATACAGAATTGCATCATTGACACAGGAAGCAAACTTTCCAGTTTTGGTCATACAATTCCTGCTTTAAAAAAGTTTGTAACTAGCACTGTACTGCACTGACATCCATGCAGAAGTCATAGTTTACATTTCAAATACCATTTTGTAGCATTTTATTTGATTATTTCACTGAGAGTAAGAAATTGCTCTTGGAGCTACTTTTAGCAGAAAAAACCAGCAAACCAACGACAACAACAACAACAAAACCTAACAAAAACCAGCATACTGGAAGTCCCTTGGCATTTTCTGGCAAAAGGCCAGTAGTAGTCTGAGTCTGAGTAGGAGGTTGAGAATCATCTGACAGTGTACATCTTTCTCTATAGGGAAATAGGGTTTCCACATAAGTATTGCAAAATGGTTATTGAAGACACTGGGATTTTTTTAACACTTACTGGAATTGATATTGCAGCAGTGAAAGGATATAAACTGAAAGATAGCATAGGTGGGAGAAGCTGAAGAGAATATTATTGGCCATTTGATTTGCTGTCTACTGGTATTACTGTGTATTTGCATGTTCTGAAGTTGGGCTGAGAGAAGTGAGTATCAGAAATCAATTGTGGAGAAATATATTGACTGTTTCTCACTTTTCCCCCACCATTCTCTGCATCTGTGCTTAACTTAAAATTCTTCCTACTCTTGAGAAACTGTGCTTCTACCTTTCCAGGGATTTTAGGGGTCACTAGAATTCTGAAGAAACTACAGCTTACTCCTCCCTCTGCATTTCTATTTACTGACAGGCATGCTCACACACCTAAGTGTCCTGTATTCTGGAAAATTACAGATCCCATTTTGGTCATGTAATTCAACAATTTTGTTTCATTTACATTGAGATGTAACACTGCACTTGTTCTTACACCTACATTATCACAAAGGTAGGGAACTGTCATAACTTGTATTCAGAATTAAACTTCATGCCCTTTATCTTACTTGGTCTCTTTTGATTCTAAGCAATTTCATGGCATTTTTACCTCAGTTGAAGCCAGTTGTTATTGTGTGCATAGAAGCTTTAATGCACAAAAGTATTATCACTATTTATTTTTCTAATTTTCTAATAATATTTTTTTTTAATAAGGTAGCATGTTACATGTCAGAAGGAAACAGAAGTTTGGGCTACTGTATTTTGAAATTGAGTATTTGAAAGCAGTTTTAAGTGACAAAAATTAATGGCGGGAAACCTGAGAAGTGAAAGAAGTTGTAGTAGTAACACACAGAGCTGAGGGAAATTGAAAAGCTGTGAAAATTGTCCAGTAAAATTGCCTTTGTGTAGATTTTTGAAGGCTGAAACCGTTCTGACTAATTTGCAGCTTCAGCTATAGATTTTTCTACTACAAATGAAGACACACAGTATACTTGTAACAGTTTATTTCCTTATGTAATTATCTGCACCAATGTCGTAAGACATGCATAGTCTTCAAGTCTTCAGCTGTGCACATTTTTTCACAAATATGGATATACAAAAGCAAAATGATCACAACATGATGCTTTTGAGTAGACTGACATTGTGATAAAAACATAAGGGTGTAGTAATGATGGTATGAAAATACTCCATCACAATATTATCATAATAAAGCAACCCACTATAAATGAGTTTTAACTGTGGTAAAACAGCTCATATATCATGAGACAACCTTCAAACTAGATCCTAAATTTTACTCTAGGTTAGTCACAGAGCAACCATAGAGAAGAGCTGGTTTAGAAATCTTTTCCACATCTAATAAAAATAGCTTAACTAAGGTTTAGAAAACAATTATTCCATAATATAGATTAACTTTTCATATTTTGTTTTTGAGAAAACATATTTTGTAAACCTAAATGATCAAACTTTGAAAACTGTGCACAGGATATGACCAATTACTATGTTTCATGAATATTTTGAAAGCATATTTTTGCTAGACGTATGTGTCCTGGTGAAGTGTAACAGTTCAGATGGAGTCATGTATGGCTTACAGGGTAAATAAAAGTGCTGTGCTGAAGATTTACGTGAACAGACACTTTATTTCAGATAAATAATTCCTCTTTTAAAAATTACCTACATGCATATTTATATGATGGATTATCACCATCCAGCTTTGGCACAGTCATTTGAGTTTGCTATTTTAAAACATGTTTTAGAAAGGTGTCTAAATACAATAATGATGAAAGAGGTCTGTTGGGGAAATTATAACTGCCTTTGAAATTTCTCTGTAAAGGTATGTGTTCAGAAAATGAATATTATAACAGTTCTGAGTATTTTTTCTTCCAACCTATAGGCTACTATTTTTTTATTCATCGTGAGGGTATATAAAGATAGTGGATCAAAACAGTTCTTAGGAGTAAGAGCCAAAAAATATTTTTTACATCAATCACATTGCTATTAAATCTGATTTCCCTTCTGTTCAATGAGTAGTCTTCTGTGTAAGAACTACAGCACAGGCTCTAGATAAGTAAACCAGAGCTCCCCTCCCCCCCCAACAGTGAAGCTTTTACTGTAACATAGTCTATTGACTTGCTGCCAATCATTAAGTTTCGTACATTTTTTTGCAACTCTCAAAGGAAATCTGATTTCTTATCTCTTTACTGGGATTTTGATGCCATATTTTTTCTAAAAAAACCCTCACTACAACTTGGAAAAGAGTAATATGTGAGTGCAATCATAGGATGAGATTTTTCATTCATTGTGGTATGCTGATTAATTGAGCTGTTGAAAGCAGTACAAACCTATATGTTTAAATTTTCCTGAATATTTGTTATCCAGAGTGAAACACTTTTGTAGCTTGCAGCTTATTGATTTAATTTTTTTACACATGGAAGTTTTTTAGAACATCACAAGTTGTTTGTGTATTACTGTTGTAATGGTTTTAATGAATGTTTCTTATTTTAGAGACAATTTTGTGTACTAAGCATACAAAGAACAGGCTGTTAATTGATGTATTAGCCTTCACTGAGATCTCATTTCAGATCTGCTGGTGCACTGAGATCACATTTGTGCATTGGCTTTTTAGTGGTTCTCATTTGGTAGAGAGTTGAGCCCAGAAGGACTGAAAAACTAGAGTGTTACAAATCTTCCGTGCAAGTCCTGCTGGTTATCTGATCCTCATCAGACCTATAATTTAGAAAAACTCAGGGCACTACCTCATTTTAAGTACGTACTTGAAACAGTCATCTAAATTTGATACTGTATGGGTTCTTAATGAAGATCTAACATAACCTAGTAGTTTACAGTGGCTGCAATATAGCTTGTGGTGAATCAGGAAATCAAAAGAGTCCATATCAAAGGGAACTGTTGAAGTAGGTCTTAGAGGCAACAATTGATTTTTCTTCAGCAGTGATAACAGAGGAAAGGGGAATCTTTCATGAATGTGTCTTTATACATATAATTGAGACTGGATTTGTTGAAATATGAATATGCACACACCCTTCACCTCTCTCCTGATACATATGAGTTTGTGTGTCTGTATATACGGGTTATGCCTCAATGTGTGTATGTTTATATATGCATTTATACTCTTTCTTAAAATTTACACTCTCACAAAGAGAGAGTGTTCTGAGCCCTAAAGATACTATAATGGTCATTCAGTGTGTTAATTTCTATTCCATAATTATGCTTTGGATGTGATGCTTTCACGTATTACAAGACCTGATGAAATTTTTGTTATTTTCACACCATGTAGTGTATTGGTAAAGGGCAGAAGAGCAACATGGCATTGAGTTTTCTTTTATTTGTTAAGGGGAATACAGAATGTCTTTCTTCGCCATTTTTTAGAGAATTATTAGTACTGATATACTGATATTATCCATTATCTTTCAAACTATGATGCCTGTTGTTTTGGTGCTGGAAATTCTTTAATGTTGAATTTTAACTAGTCTAACCTTTAAATCTGTTTGACTGAATGTTGAAACTCATTGAAATATGAATCATGTTCCCATCAACGTACATTCAGTATATATTTTCTGGCCATTTTCTTACAGGCTAGCATTTGAAGAGTATTAAGTGTTTGATTTAAGTGATGATAAAGTATATTTAAAAATTAGCAAATACGTTCCATGGTTAGCATGGCATATATTTCTTAGTAACAGTGACAGGGAGACTGTGGAAAAAGTTGGTTTATTTGATAAAAAAGAAATCTGGTAATGAAGAGGGGGTAAAAGTTCTCTGTAAGTATTGTAGCACTTCAAATACAGAAGATTATTTTTTTCTAATACTTCCATGGGCAGAATAACCGAAAAAATATCCTTTGTTTCTTCTAATTAAATATGACTGTTGGTTCTCAAGTATCAAAGTAAGTGTTTAAAAGAAGAAGCAAGCACTTGCAAATACTTCATATACATACCTTTGTGAAAGGAGTTTAACAGTAAATGTAGATTCTCTTTTTGCTTTTTTTACTCCTTATTTATCGTTCCAGGAAACAAGAGGTAATTCAAACATCAGCGTGGCTCCAAGCTAGAAATTCAGCCTGACCAGAGTTCTATCTCAGACTTTTTGGCATTGCAAGCTGAACCTGACACATCCTACAGTGTTATGCAAAACAGAGACAGTTCTCTGTCTTCAATCTGTTTCTTCAACCTGGATGTCACATCCAATCCCAGAAGAACAATGGAAAATGGATTTTCAAATTCTTAGTATCTTCAAGAAGGAAAAAATTATATTAATGTAAAATGATGCAATTAAAGTGTAATTTTTTTGTTATCTTTGAATTGTAGTTCAATATTTGTATTTTTTTACATTAATTTTATGGTTTTATGAAAATGTGCATTTGTATGTTCACATTTCTGCACTTGTCAGTTTTGCATACTGAAGCAGTTATTTCTTTAAACTTTTATTTATTGCAGTTATTCATTTTTTATGTAGTATATTTTTAAATGTTAAAGAATGACACATTTTGGGTAATTTTCTTCAGTCTTAAAAAAAAAAATCAATAAGCCATTTTAGTCTCTATCTATCAAAGTTGTTTCATACTTGTCTATTTTAAAGCAGGACTGCAATACTTTAATAGGATTGAGAGAGCTATTTGAAATGTATGCCAATGATTCCTGTCATTTCATGGCAGCCCTGCCATGGTTCACTGAGCCCCCTCTTTTCTCTTGTCAGCTCAACTGAAGACAAGCATTTAGTTGCAAACTTTAAGCAGGTTGTGCAAAACAGAAATGATGTGACTGCTTCTCTTCCTGCACAATAATGTCACTGCTGGTCAATGTGAGAAGGTCAGGTTGCTCCTTGTAAAGCTACATGATACCACTTGCCTATTTGAACAAGTTAAGTTAACCACTGAATCTGGTCCCTGCAGGCACTGAAAACTCACCCTTTTATCAAGTCTGCATTTCATAAGAAAGAAGAACAATTGTGGAGGGAGGATTTCTGATGATATGTTTATATACTTTATAAGGACAGTTCCCAAACCAGCGTTGCAGGTAATGTATTTAGTTTAAACTGAAAGACTAAAAAGTAATGGCTGTTTTGACCTTCAAATAGACTCCTTTTTTGTTGTTGTTGGTAGGACCCAAGAGTGACGCCCATCTTTGATGCTGACAGAATTTAAAGCAAGGCCATTGCCCTGCATTTTCTGCCTTGTAGCACACAAAAGTAAAATTGTATGTCAGGCCGAGATGTCGGGGAGCTGACAAGATGCCCCAGTGACATTTCAGCTGGAAAGAGCAAGTGTCTTGCAACCAAGTGGTCAAATATCAAATAATAGGTCAAGCAGGAAGGAGCTGAGTTCTAACCACAAAGAGGTTTCTGGTAACTTACTTGACAAGCTTTTGGGTGCTTTGTGGCTTGACAAAGTGATGTTCTGTTGGGTATCGCTAGACAGACTGTTCTTTATCGCCTTCAGAAGATCAGACATTGACATTGATTAAACTCTTTAACCCTTAAAGGTTAAATCCTAGCATTTTTATCATTGTGAATGAAGAACAAAAGAAATTTTTTAATATACCATTTGTTTTCATATTAATCACAGAACTCCCTAGTGCTATTAACTTTTGATGTGCTGTGTAGTTTTTGACAAAACAATTGAATGCAAAATCTATATAATAGATTGTTTCTCAGTATGGGCCAGTGCTACATTCGAAAAATAATATTATGCATTATGGAATTTGTAATTTCTTCTAATATGTCAAATGTAGGATTTGATTTTAAAGCTTCATAAATGAAATTCCATTTTGGATGGAAAAGAGTATTTGCATAAATGATGTAGCACTTAAAATGAACAAATCTTCCAACCACCCTTGTTTTCAGGTACTCTAGAATCCTAGAATATCCTGAGTTGGAAGAGACTCACAATGATCATCAAGTCCAAATCTTAGCCCTGCACAGGAAAATCCCATGAATCACACCATGTGCCTGAGAGCACTGTCCAAATACTTCTTGAACTCTCTTAAGCTGGTGCTGTGACTGCTTCCCAAGGGAGCCTGTTTCAGTGCCCAACCACCCTCAGAGTGAAAATCCTTTCCTTGATATCCAACCTAAACCTCCTCTGACATAACTTTAAGCCATTCTCTTGTGTTCTATAACTGGTCACTACAGAGAAGTGACCAGTTAAGTGACCAGAGAAGGACATCAGTGCCTTCCCCTCCGCTTTCCCTCTTGAGGAAGTTGTAAACTGCAGTGAGGTCTTCCCTCAGTCTTCTGTTCTCCAGGCTGAACAAACCAAGCCACTCCTAATATGCCTTTAGATTTTCAATGGAAGACCTTTAAGGTAGTTTTGAATTTTCATGTATTCTCTATTATGCAGTCCATTGCTTACAGCCTTTATGTGCTTGTATGTGTGTATAATAACACAGAGCCATGAAATGCCAAACAATAAATCCGGAAGAGCTCTTACATGTAAGAGTCAGCTGACAGAGGAAGGGCATTCCTTTTCTTTATGTATTCAGTCTTGAATACCGAAGAAAGAAGTTTTCATTTTCCTCCAAGTGTCCTGGCTCCACTCTTTCATGACAGTGACTGTTCTTAAAGGCATCAAAAGTACTGTATTCTGCTTTTCCAAATTGAATGTCAAAGATCTATTATATTAATATGAAGAATGAAATGAATGAATATATCTCACTGATTATTTTCCTCTCTACTGTGTATAGATGCATTTAAACGCTTTTTAAAGTATATTTTCCTTGTACTCTATAGGTTGAGAAAGAAAGTGCCTATTTTTTGCTATGTGGTCTCAAACGGATGGAAGATTTGCAGATTACTTGTCCCTTTTCCATTATTGCCAGTCTATGTGGTATTATGCATGTAGAGACAGAAAAATTATTTCTTTCTGAAATCCGTATCTTACTGAGAGTAGGAGTATCTCCTCCAGTTACAGCTCCAAGCATGGGTTTATGTGATTTCACAGGGACCATGACAGTGGCAAACTGACTTTAGTTAATATGAATGACCTAACAAGCTATCTTTTCTCATAAGAACTGGGTTGTAAGTTTTCATTGAAGGAGAACATCTACCTCATTCACTCTATTTAAATACTGACTAACTGTGAATTACAGAATTACATACTATTTTTCTTAAAGCTATCCACTTAGAAAGGATTTTGAAATATCTTTTATTTGGCTGCCAGATGTCCCATTTGTAAACAAAATCTCCTCTTTCTTACATTGTAAAGAAGCTGAGAGTAGTAAATTGGATTATTTTTCGTGTTATACTCCTGAGTTGCTATTCCTTGCATTTGATAAAAGGAAATTTGAGATACATTCCAAATATGTAGAAGATCCCCTTTTAGTAGTTTACAAATGTAGTTTGTAGCTTACCAAAGCATGTTTTTCCCTATCTTTTGGGGACACAATAAAAGTCTTGCTTGTGCAGAATGTGGCAAGACGTACAGTAACAGTAGCTCTCAAAAGAGAATCATGTTTCATACCATCTGCTCTGCCTTGCTTTGAAAATTAAAGAGCTTGAGACCTTGATCCTTACTTTTGAAGATTTTCATTTTTAGGGCCTGGAATTTGAAGAGAACTAGTTCCACTTGTATAATCTCAGCTTCATCTCAGCACTCCACCAGGAGAACAGCTAGTTTCCTTAGAAGGAAGACCATATTCAGTGGGGTTAAAATAGTCTCCATAGTTTTTGAATGTGGTGCAACAAATTATTTGCTTTCTGGTCAGTCTCAAAATTAATATTAATTTATTTACCCATCAAGCAACCCATCTCTGAAAAGAGACTGTGTAATACATTATTCACTGCAGCAGGTTTTATAGCTGTTACTACAAGTTGTGTTTGTGCCTGTGTCACATGTATGTATATAAGATTTTGATTTTTGCACTGACTGTATTATCACTCCACATACTTTAAGCAACTCTTGCTAGACTGGTAGTACAGATGGGTTTTTTTGGCTCCCATCCCACCACTGTTTACAGATTCAGTAGAATTCAATGCCTGTCAAGTTGGGTAGACATTTATGGGAGTATCCTCCATTGTAAAAGATGTTGAATGCCTTTACCAAGTTTTTACCAAAGGAGCTGAGGTTTGAAGGCTCTGAAGATTATCTATTGCAGCTGCTTAGAATACAGTCAGCTACAACAGGTTGCTGAGCATTGCTTTTTGTCCTGTCACTAGGCAGCACACAGAAGATAGTGTGGCTCCATATTCTTTTCTTTACAGGTATTTACACGATTTGGTAAGATCTCCCTGAGCCTTCTCTTCTACAAGCTAAAAAAATTACTGCTCTCTCACCCTCTTCTCTTATGAGATTATGCTCATAATGATATGAGATTATTAGTCATTTTATTAGTTATCTTTTTGGTCCTTCACTGGACTTGCTCCTATATCTCTCATGTACTAGGGAGCTCTGGACTGGAGCCATTACTCCAGATACAGAGTCACCAATGCTGGACAGAGGGGAAAGATTGCCTCCCTTGACTTGCTGGCAGCTGTCTTCCTGATGCAGCCCAAAGGGGCTGTTGGCCTGTTTTGCTGCTGGGGTACATTTCTGCCTCATGATAAACAGGAAGACAAAGAACCTCCAGGTACTCTTCTGCCAAACTTCTCCCCCGACACTTGGTGTTGGGTCTCCATCCTGTCCTGGTGCCAGAGGTAATTCTCCCCAGGCAGAGGAGCCTTTCTTCTCTTTCCTTGAATTTCATCAAGGTCCTATCAGCCCTTCTCCAGTCTGTCAAGACAGTCTCTCTGGATGGCAGCAAATCCTTCTGATCTGTCAATCACGTCTCCCAGCTTAGTATCTGCAAATTTGCGGATTTTGCACTGGATCCCATCATCCAGGCCATTAACAATATTATGAGTCTGTATTGGTCCCTGTATTGACCCCTGGGATATACCACCAGTGACTGGCCTGCAGGTGGACTTCGTGCCATTGATCACCATCCTTTGAGCTTACCAGTTCAGGCAGTTTCACAGCTAACTTACTGTCCATGTATCTAGTCCATAATTCCTTACTCAACAAGTGGGACATTTTATTTTGTAAAAGGTTTCCATACACTGCTAAAGCCCTGGATTAAGTGAAAGGCAATATTTTATATAACCTCTTTGTCAATTAGGTCAGACTGATCATTTGATCACTTACAAGAGAATCTGATCATTCTGCTGTCATTCTGTACTTGAAAAGTTTTCCAATACTTTAAATTTTAGATAAATTTGCATGTGCTATAACTAAGCTCCTAAAAAATATTTAAAATCTCTTCTGATATACAAAATTGCTTTAGTAGCATTTTTCTCCTGATGTTTTTTGTAGTTCTTTGATTATTCTCCAGTGACTAAACCCCAAAAAGCCCCTGGCAGCTTCAGAGTTTGGATGAAATCTATATGTGAAAAGCACCTCTCCTACTGCTGGTGATGGAACACCAAGCTTACTCAGCATTTCTCTCTCCATTCTGTTGTTGCTTGGCCTTGAAATCCAAACTAACAAAGAAATCTATTAGGACATCCTTTCCTTTCTTTTAATCTTTCCCAGTATGAAATTACTAGATTTAGTAACTTGACTTCACTTTGGTCTTTGTAATCTGATTATTTGTGGACAATCATTTTGCATCATACTCTCCATATGGCCCAAAAATGTACCTCAGTATTTACTCAGAAAGTGTTTAAGTGTCTTCTTTCCTCTTTGCTGAGTATTCAACTAAACCGGTGGAACCTACAGTGATTTTTGCATAAATTATTTAAACATCTTCATGTACAAAGTTTAAACTGGAAAAATTACATTTTCTTACAGGTACTCTGATTCTACTATGACTTCAATTTTACAGATTTAGATGTGACTTTCAATTAGCTATCTGTAAATTGTCCTTCAATGGGAGATGGAAGGTGACATGCTTTTTATCATGCTAACATGGATCTCATCGCTGTCACAGGGAGCATCATGTAGGAATTTTGGGCAATTTATATAATTTCATGTATTGCAGTTCAGTGCTTTACAAGCCAGCCATTCAGCAATGCATATGAAACTGAATCTTTGCTATTTCTGGTGTCCAGTGACTGATGAATAAAATTGAACAAGGATAAAGCAAATTATGAGGAAGTGTCTGAAAACTAAATTGTTTCCAAGGAATGCTCAGCAGGAGGTAGGGAGATCCACTGAATAATTTTTCTTCAGTTCTTTATGTACCATGCTTCCTGTCTCTTTATAAGCTAATAGTGCTAATAATTATTACTGAATACCAGATTGCCTTCTCATGGCTCTACTGTGCCCAATTAAAGCTTCATAAGTGGTTGGACTTAGTTTCAACTAATTCCATGAAAGTCAGTAATTAAAAAATAGAAAATGTTAGATTTAAAGATTAGATTTTAAGCACAGGTATTGTCCCCATTATTGTATAAATGTCCTTTCTTTTTCTTGGTAAACAAATTTTTAAATCTTCCACTGCATGATGGTAACAGGGAAATTGTTCAAAAATAAAAGCAATGCTAATTATGTTAAAATAGATTACTTTTTGTGTGATTACAGCTAACCCACATAGCAGCCCCACTAACTGCTGACCTGTAGATATCTGAGTAGTTTAGTCCACACTAATGGATTGGTCCTAAAAGTTGTGGAAAGAAGCATCATAAATGCTCTACTTTTGAGCAGTACATATGAAAGGCATGTACCTTCTACATGTTACAGGAAAAATGCTCCTAAAAATCTGGCATACATGCATAGCAAAATAAATGGGGCAACTTTTGTATGAATCAGGTGAGAGTTTTAGTATCTTTCAGTGTATGGTGTGTGGACTTGCCATCAGAACTTCATACACAAGGTCCTTCTAATGTATGTGATTCTACTGGCACGTATGGGGAGGAACCCAAAGCTACACTCCATCCTGTGACATTCATATATAGCATTTGAGGTTTTTGCTGACTAAAAAGCTTTTGAAAATAATTTGTAAACCTCAGTCCACGTGGTAATTATCAAAACAAAAGCAAGAGAATTGTGAATTAAATATTAAATTCTTTCCTACCTTAACACCATGTGAAGGTTAATAAAATTAGTTCCCACAAACAATAGCATGGGAGAAGTCCTGATTGTAATGTTTGCAGTAGCAGATAAATCCTGGTTTCAGGCTTCATTCTCAATTGGCTTACTGAAACAAATTTATGTCAGACATTTGGGGTGGGAAGCTGTATATATTAAAGCACTGACCTTAACAAGAATCATGCAGCTAAAATCCTGCACTGTTCTTTTAAAATGTCAGGGGTTAATGTTATTTAAATGCAGTATTTGGCGGTTTAATTGAGTCATGCTTCGTTGTCTTTTACTGCACATTAATGCCAGTGAAACACTGATTGTTGACAGAAAGTTCTCTTCAGCAAAGTATACACTGACATATAATACTGCTATGGAAAATCCAGTGTGCAAGACAGAATAGTCATCCTCTGCTGGCATAGGAATCCTGTACTGTCCAAATGGTGACAACATCCATTATACACTAACAGGAAACATGAACTAGGCTTGCTTCTGTTGCATGTTTTCAGAGTGCCTCTTGAGAGAACTGGTGAGACTTAATTATTGAGTATTTAGACAAATAAATTAATCTGAAGTTTTTTTTTCTGTTGGGTGTGTGTCACACAAGTTAGTAACTGCACCTTGAAAAGTACAAACTCGAGTTTTGTTATAGAAGTACCTCCGACAGCTTTTGTAATCTGGCCTTAGAAAACACCAATGGCTATTCATCTTGACTTCGTCTAAGTTTGGAAAAAATAAGTTCATGTTATTTCTCTAAATATTTCTTAGTGTTAACTCTTCTTGCCAGCTTAAAACCCCCAAGTGGGAATAGATGCTGCCTGCACAACTGAGATGTAAAAAATAATGCAAATTGTGGACTCAAAAGATTTTGAAGAGGAATACAGGAAGGAACAAACACTACTGAGTTTCCAAGAACTTGTATGTGCACTGGGTAGGATATATTTGGTGTTGTGCTTTTGCATGATGGAATTCTAAAGTAACAGCTGTCATATGGACACCTACTTTATACTTCATTTTGGCTGAAGAAGTCTGCATGCTGTTTGTCTAGTCCTGTAGGATTTTGTTACACTTTTGGACTCTGAGCTTTACAGGATTTTTCTCATGGCTGCAGGGTGGTTTCTGGAAGTCATTAGAATTCTGCCTTGGAAATGAGTTTGCAAATGACATATGACTTTTAAAATGTTTTTTTCAAGCCATTGTAATTTTCCAAGTTGATATCAGCCAGCCTGGTTGAAGCTTGCAACTGCAAATGGACCTAGATTGTGTGAAACTTCTGATGCATTTGGGGAACTTCCTGGTCCTTACACTATCTTATTAGGTGGCATTGGTACATCACACTTGGCCTCCTAAGGGAATAACAAAGTCTTTGAATCTTGTGTGATACAAACAATCACAGAGAGTGATTTTGTGGAAAGTCATAATAGTCAGCTTTTTAGTAGCAGCATTTAAGCTCATTTAAGGCTAGCTAAATATATTTCGTTTTCTCCTCATGTCTAAGGTATTATGAAAGTGTCTGGAAGCAGATAAACTGCTTCACATCAGAATGACTGGTGACATTTGCAGATCTATGTCTTCTTCCAAGATCTGCACTAAGTCTGTTGTATACTACAAAGAGCTGTATAGTTCAGCAGGCAAGACCTATAGAGTACTGACCTGTGGGGACTTTATTCTCTCTACCACTGTCTCAAGGGCAAAAAGTAGATCTTTCTAGCTTTCAGAAACTCACAACTATGCTGAACAATACAGAGGTGTAAAACCATAAAGAGACTTGTGGAAACTTCCTGATGTTCAAAGTCTTAATTATCCATGCTGTGCATTTGTATATGAACATTTGAGTTGGGTGTTGGCTTTTTTGACATGTTAATGCTATGTTTTACTTAATGTATTTTTTAGCAGTTTGTAGTGTATGTGCAAATATTGTGTGCCTTTGCCCTTAGCTAATTTTTCCCAGAAGCACTTGTAGCACTCAGATAGAACCAGCTGTTGCTTAGTGAACTCTTGAGCCTCAATCAAGCAATAATGTGTTAAATTGTTATCAAGAAAAAAAGGGAAACTCAAAAATTAGCAGTAAAGTGTGATGAATTTATTGTTTGGCATTGTAAATAAACCCCCTTTTAAAGGAACGAGCCAAATATAATCATAGGTTAACTACCAAAGCAGAGCTTTGGCCAAAAAGCTCCAAGAAGAAGGTATGTAAAACTGACCAATTAGAAGAATTATCTTAATATTTTCCTAATGGACACTGTAATTTAGGAAAATTGTTTATAACAGGAGAGAATATCTAGAAGCAGTTTTAATTGTGAAGGATCAGAAAGTAAAGAAAACCGATGGATCTCTGATTAGGTTCAGAGGACATCTGTAAGCTTGTTCAGGGTCTGATTATTTCTAAAGAAGAGGCTTCTGTGATTTTATCAATAAATTAGGATTTGGACACCAAATGCTGCTGTGTGTCTCTATAAGAAAAAGAGAAAAAAACTGTATCTTTCATATCAACTGCAACATGTAAAACCAAAACAAACCAATAAACAAAAAACCCAAACAACAATGACAACAATCCAACAAAAAAGAAACAAACAAAAACCCTCCCGGTTTACCCTTTGAGATGGAATCCCTTTGTCCAGGAGTCTGACTGTAAATTCTCATTAAGAATAAATTTCTACCAATTTTACTCCAGTACCATAAAAAATGTTTTCATTCTCAGATGAAAAATCTATCTATTGCTATTGATCTGCAACAGCTGTTCATTGTTATGTCTACTGTATTCATGTCCTGCTGATGCCTAAAGAGGCAATCTGGAACAGAGGCTGGATGGATTTAAAGGAATAATAGGTGTTTATTAAAAGCCTTCAAAGGAGACCTTGGGCAGTACAAGAGCCTGGCTGAGACTACCCAAGATGGATGCAAGATAAAAATGTAAGACTGGTCACGAGTTTTCACACTTTTGTAAGTTCTGGTGCATTTACCTATTTGGGTTAATTGTCCAGTTATAGCTTCAGGTTATGAAGTCCCATCCTCACAGGTTGCTCTCCTCAATTTGCTGTTGTTTATACTTCTTGAGCTGGAAGCTGCAACGGTGTCCTTGGTTGGAAAGGACTGGGAAAGGATTGTTTTGTCCAACTAAGCTGTGAAGTATTACATGTACATGTGTATGTACCTGGGAAATACGAAAGCTAAAACTTAAGGCATCACTGCAGCGTGTGAATGCATCTTAATTTATTGAAAATGCGAATTTCCTCCAGTGTGAAACACCTTTTCAACTGTAACTACATCAAAAATTTTCATTAAGTATTTGTGGAATACTTGTTTGTGTTGCACTTTTGTCACTCTATGAGTGGCTAAGCACTGCACAGGAAATGGTAGAGAAACCAAGGAATGTTGGTTATCTACTGTCTAGTAGATACCTATCCAGTATCTACTGAGATATTTGATTTGCTAGAATTTCAAAAAAATTTCTTAAAACCTAGCAGAAGACAGCCTGATTGAACTAACTCTGGATTAATAGTAAATTTGAAAGGAAGTAATAAGGAGGATCTTGTATGAACGGCTCAGGTTTATTTTTCTGTAAGCTAAACTTAGACCCTGTTGCTTTTCTACTTAGGTAAAACTTAATATCTTTGTTAATGGATGTAGTATCCATTTGCCTGCTGTGTTTCCCTGTGATCACAGGTTCTAACTAGATTACAAAAGGATGAAGATTCACAAGCCATATAATGCCATTCTCTGCAAAGGAAATGTACATTTCTTCCACTGTAAGAATCAGGTAGTTTTACAGTGGGTTGAGGAGAACCATATCATTCTTCCTATTTCAGCAAAAATGTTCCTGTCTCACGTACACACACAGCTTGACTTCCAAAAGGGTACAGATTAAACAGCTGGGGTTATTTGAAAAGTGTCTGAAGTTCTCTTCCTAGCCATAAAGAATTGCACTATAAAGATTTATAATTCGAAAGGGAGGAGTTTCCTCTTTTCTGCTGCTGCACAAAAAGACTTGGTTTCTTTTAATAACTGAAATGGTTTCTACCTCTGTCTGAGTCTACAAGAACCTCTTAGAAAGTTCACAGAGCAGTTACAGTTCACCATGTGAGCTAGTCAAATGCAAACTTATTTCTTTGAACAAGCACTAGTCATCTTTTCCATTAAACCAGTCTAATGCATATCCAATTTAGATACTATAATTTCTATAGAAAACTCTGAGGACTTCAGGAAGATATGAAGCTTAAGGACATGAATGTGAGGTATGTAGAGCTACTTGGGTTGACTTTAGACTGAAATCTGGACTGTAGTCCTAAGCTAGTTGCCATATTCTAGAAGGCCTGGAAATAGTTTCTAGGAGAAGATTGCTGTCCTAGAGACTGAGGTGATGCTAAAGGACCTTTTCTCAAATTTTTTTATTTTTATTTTTTTTTCTGTCCTTGTAGTGGCATTTCTTTGTTTCAGTCCTTGGGAATCTCTTGTTTGACTGGTCATCATGACCATTCAAAGACAACTGAAAGTGGCCTCACAGTGACATCAGAGCTCCCTCAGTACTTTTGAGCTTATCTATAAGGTGCTTATGTGCTGTACATCTTCACTAAGTCTGTCTTCCTTGCTTCAAATCTCTCTGGTCTCAGTGGCCTAGAATTCCTAACAGCAGATTTTATTGGCAAGGACTGAGACGAAGAAGGCATCAAGTACCTCATCGTTCTCTATGTCAACTGCCACCAGTTCCCCTGCTCTGTTCAGCACTGGGATCACATTTTCCTTTTGCTTTTCTTATGGTTGTAGAATACTTTCCTGTTGTCCTTCACATCCCTTGCCAGATTCAACTCCAGATGAGTTTTGGCTTTTCTAAGTCCATCACTGCACAACTGGACAGCAGTTACCATTCTCTTCCTGGGGCACTTGACTCTGCTCCCACCTGTGGCCCATTTCTGTTCTGTTTGAGTTCAGTTGCATGAAAAAAATTAAAATGAGAGGCCAGTGAAAGTGGCTGTAGCTATGGATTTTGTTGATTAACAGAGGGAAACAAATATGAAGCCATATCAACTGCTACTGTGTGCTGCATGTGACCAAAGATCAGCAAAAATATGTCTGCTTTTTAGTAGGTATGACTGACAGAGCTTTAAACGTTTTAATTTTCATGGGCTTAATTGTCTCCTAGAACTACTCAGGTTAAAATGTTAGACTAGATCTCAAAATGAACGTCTTAATTGTATTTGTATCAGGGAAAATTACTATATTTCCCTCATCCATATTTTAGGTTTTGTAGATATATATGGAATTGTATCTACAACTGAAGTTCAGTTTTTACTGTATTTTCATATAAAGTAAATTGTAAATAAGTAAATAAGAAAATCTGAGAATATAAAGTAAATTGTGGAAAAGAACTATTTTGCAATCCTGGTTAATAGAACCTCTGCATTTTTGAAGAAGAATACTTCTACAAGTGGTGAATAAGAATGGGTAATATAACACATGAATGAAAGTGGATTTTATAGAAACTGCTGATGTTCAGAAAATGAAAGAGCTGTTAATAGCAATTAATGATTGTGAAGTCTGCTACTCTGTTCTGTGAGATGTTAAAACCATGTCTGAAAAGGGAAGAAGATTAAAATACATATTGATTGGCTGATGGGCAAAAGGTAAGGTTTAAAAGCAAAGAATTGACCAATATGTGTGGTATTAATTAAACTCCTCTCATCATTGTGAATAAACAAGGTCTGATAACCCATATCTGTAAATTCCTGAATTGATTCCAGATTGAGTGTACTTCAAAGGTCTATGCCATGTAAACCAGAAATCACCTTCAGAAGGATCTTTTCCCGCAGCTCAGGGGAACTGCAAGACATGATGTTTTCTGCTGCATGGTTTTCATTCTGAGTTTTCCTGCTGATTTTGTAGGAAGTATAAAGTGGGTGGATGATAAGTGGGTTGATAAGACAGACCCCAAAATGCACACATTTGCCAGGAATACCTATGACTTCCTTGAGGACAGATGACACAGAAAAGGTGTGTTGTCAATTTGATCAGCTGTTTATGAACAGATATGACCAGTTATAAACTATTTGGCCTAAACCTGCAAAGGTGGAGACACCAGAAAGGACTGTAATGTTGGTGCTTTGGAGGTAGGAGTAAAAAACAAGCATTAAGGTGAGATGCCTCCTGTGGGAAATTCTGACTCCATTGAAGTGAATAGGAGCTTTGGGCTTTTATTCACCAAGACCATTACACTCAAGCTGGATTTCTTGCCTTCCAGGAAGCACAATGCTTTAAGGAGTGTTACTCAGGCAGTATGTACTTCTCAGTGTTTCTCCTGCCTTGGGTGAGGATCTTTTTGCTAGGAGAAATTATAAAAATACTAAGCACTTCTTTTCTCTGAGACTGAAAACCTTTTGTAAAGTGTCTTTAGCTCATTTTAAGATTTCCCTAACTATGGTCTAAAGGAGTTTTAAAGTCTAAACAAAAACACTCCCCTACTGTGAGATAAAAAGAGCTGAATATCCTGAAACCTTATCTTATGTGGGTCCAATTTCCCTTATCTATGGCTTTCTTCATGTCTTGAAATTTGAAATAAAATTTAAAAAGTAGAAGAATGAAGCCTGTGTTAGAGGGGTTCAGTGGAGAGGAAAAAGTGTCTGCCTCATGACTACTTGGTATCTCCAGTTTGTTATATATAGCAAAGGTTTACGTTTTTCCCCATCTTCCTTTCTATGTATTTTTAAAAATGTTTTACTGACATGAAAGACTATTCTGTTATAGAATGTTGCACAAACAGGTAAGTTCTGTAGCACAAATAGCAAAGAAATACAGTAGGAGAAAGTGAGTCACAGCTGAAAGCGCAGTATTTCTACATTTTAGCCAAGTCCTTAAGAAAAAGGATTTAACTGAAACACAAACTGAGTGAGTAAGGTTGACTCAGCTCTGTGTACTAGCTAATTTGGGTAGCTATTTTGTTAATTTAAGCAAGGTTTAGGTTTCCCAGAATGTCAGAAACCCAGCCTGGCCATCTCCACAGCACAGGTCCAGAGAGGGCTGCATGGCTGCAGCCTCCCACTGCTACCTTTCTTGATGCAGCAACTGCTTCACCCAGAGAGCTGTCCCTGATCACTGAGTGCAGGTCTCTGCAAGCATTGACTGACAACTGTGATAGCTTTTTGCTAAAACTATCCCTTCTTAAACCAGTCACTTTTCCAGTCAAGCCTTCATGCATTTTTGCATTTGGAGATCCTTGCAGGTAGGAGGCTGTGGCTGTCTTGGCTGGACAGTCATCTCTGAAGTGCTGGCTGTCCCATATAGAGTAATATTGCTCCCTTTCTGTCATATCTGATGCCCTTTATAAGTGTCTTCAGTTGATTTCTGCAGTTGCGTCATCCAGTTAACGAGGGCCACTACAAGGTTTTAAGTGCCCTGGTTACTCTGTTTCCTGTGAACTGTTCTGGATTCCCTGCTGTTTGTTTTC